CCTGCTGATCTGAATAGGGCTGGGGAAAGGAGACTTACTGTGCCATCTCAAAGGAGACCGACATGCCCTCTGTAAAGCTTTTCTGGCTGTAACACTTGGAATGGTATTTCTCAAGAACCAGTTATGACCTGAAGTCAAGCCCCATGGAAGCAAGATCCTTTGCCTACCCTTCACCCTGCCCCAGTTCATGCAGGTCTAAAACTGGAGAGTGGACTGCTGAAGTGTGATATAGTCCTTCCCATTAACTTTATTAGTTTTTTGAATCCAGTGTGACAAGATTTTAATGAACTTTTTAAACTCTGTAGCTGCCAAAGCTATGCTATGGATTGGAAGGGCAACTCCCTACCCAGCTTTCATTGCTGTTTTACTTCTCAGTTGAAGACAACTACCTCTGTGAGTAGAGTAGTACTCACCAAAACCAGGGAAGCCAATATCCTGAAGTTTTATGGATGGTATCGTTTCTTTCTAAAGAAAGAAAACAACAAAATCAGATTATAATGTCACAATCTCAGGATAAAGAATTTAGGAAAAATAATTGCTTAAGTGAATCATAGAATAGTTAGGGTTGGAAAGGAAGACAAATGACTCGTAGATCTTACTGAAATTTTTCTTGATGTTTCAGAAACACCTGCTAAAAATGATGATGTGCAGCAGATACCTAATAATAGCATCAGGTATTTAGATTTAATGTGAATATCTCTCTCTGAAAACAGGTGGTGCTTCTGTCATGGCATCTTCTGGGTCTTTGAAAGTGCATAGAGGGCACAGTCTCCAAGCTGGTAACTATGAGTGGTTATGAAGTATGTGTATGCATGTAAATTTAAGCTAAATTAAACTTAAATTATTTTAAACTTCAGAAAATGTTAAAGGTGTAACGTGTGACTTGATTCCCTATTGTAAGACTTGCATATTTCTTTGGGTTTTTTGCTTTGCAGGGTTTTTGTTAGAAAGGCATTGACAGATGGGATAAGTTTAGAAGAGGCAGTGACAGATGAGATAAGTGTCAGAGCATAGGCAGTAATCTTATTCACAGCAGTTAAATGCTGCCAGCACTTTAACAAAGGACACCCACCAGAAAAATCTCACCTCAGGCCATGAAAAATCCTGTACCCTAGCAATGACATGGTGGGAAAAAAAACCCACCACATTTAAAGATACTTCTTTGTGACAGTGGAGAAAAACCCAACACCAGCAGATAAATTTACGAGTGCTTATAATTAAAAATTAATCCAAATATGTTCGTTCCATAGATGTAGCATTTTTGCTTGCCTTGTTTGAACTTGGGTGGAGACTGAGATCTTGAGAGGACCATGGACATCTTTTTTCAGCTTAGTGCTCTGGAAGGACTGATGGTGTTGTGCAACCTGGCCTCTTGCAAAGTGCTTATTTGCACTTGGAAAGCAAAGTTACCTTTGGAAGGGCTAGTTTAACCATTTTCTACAGAACTTTGTCAGAAATCAAGAAGTTATCCATCATGCTGGAGGTGGAATTTTAACAAGAGTCTTCCAGATGCTCCTGAGATCACCCACTCACTTCTCCCTGATTCACACATTTAAGACAGCTTTGCTCCCAAATTGATGTACAGCAAAACACACTGTTGACTTCAGTGGCCTTCAGTGTGAATACCTGTAAAAATGTCCTAATGTTTATTTCCTTGTGTTGTACTCATTATGAAATGCTGACATCACCACTACAGAAAAGTCAACACTAGCCACTGTTCATTCTTTCCAAGATTATTCAGATTAGAAGATTACAAGTCAAAACTAGAAAATCATATGCTTATTTATATCTTGCAAGTTCCTAAATCCAAAACGATTGAGAGTGTTCCTGTATTCTAGGTCCTAAAGGCGGCTATGAGATGCTAACACTTACTTCAGAACCTGGAACTCCTACTAGCCTTGAGGAACCTGGTGAGTACAGAACTTTGCAGCCAGTTGCATCAGGGGACACTAGTATCTCCTGTTGCTTTTTCCTTTCCCTTTTTTGTTGTGATCTTTTCTGAATGTTTATTTTTGAAGTGTTGCCCTTTGAATATGTCAGCTTTACAGGCGTGCTCACGCAGGCACACACACGCATACTAATCTCGGGACTGTGTTACGGCATTGGCTTTCTTTCTGCGTTATTTATTGCACATTTCTGAGAATGGTATCTGCAAAGGGTAGAAAATATGAATAACAAACAGTTGCTGAAAGAAAGGCTAAAGCACCAGTTTCAAAATTAATTTACTTCTTCCCTCCCATATTATACTATCTTTTCCCTCTCAGTGCCACTGCGTTTTCTTTTTTTACTCTTCTCCTGTTACTTATCTTTTTGTCTTCCTACCTTTTCCCCCTTCTTTTTAAGCAATTGTGATATTCTACCAATTCTTTCAGAACGTTATAAACATTCTGTTTTGGCCTGGTTTTCTCTCAAATTCTTCATCCATAATGATCTCACATACTGGTCCTCTGATCCCTCTTGTAAGCATCTTCTACCTCTGTCCACCCAGAACAGTGCCAAAAGCACTGTCTTTGTCCATGGCTCTCTGCGTGCCTTGATTTCTTAGCAGGAGCTTTTGACTGTCTTGTGCTTTTCAAATAAACCTTTACCTTCAAACAAATATAAGCCAGTTTTCTTGTGTCTAATGTGTTTTGGTGGGTTTTTTTGTTTTGTTGGTTTTTTTTTTTGGTTGTTTTTTTTTTGTGCAGTGGTCTTTGGTTTGTTTTTTATTCTCCATGTGTGGTTTTTTAGTTCTCAGGAAAATCACTTGGCTTGTCTGCATCAGGTATGACATCCTGAAACCTTTCAACTATTTAACTCTATAGACAAATTTGCTAGCTTTCATGCTAGCTAGCATTGAGGACATTTCACTTAACTCCTGCTACGTCACAGCATATAGAAAGACTTCAAAAATTATCTTTTCCTTCATGACTGCTCATGACTCTGTATCTGTCCTTAAGATTCTCATTTGCTTACAACTTTAACTATTTGGGATGCAGGTTTTCAATCCTGTGGTTCTGCTGAATCTCTTTTGGCACGGTCAGGCCAAATTCCTTTGAAATACATTAGATAGAATAATTGAGAACATTTTCTGAGAATTATATTTGATGACAATACAGAAATTTCTTCTGTATTGTCTTCCCCCTCCCCCTTTTTTTTTCCCCCCTTTTCATTTTGTTCTTAACATCTGGCTTTGGAACAACAACTTGAAGTCTGACTGTCAGAAAAATGATTGGTTACTTCATGGATATTCCTATGTTTTCATTACAAAAATCTGTCAGGATATTTGCCAACTTTCTATGCTTTTAAAATTTTGGGCTGCATAATAGACTCCTTTGATTTCAATAGCTTAAGTCTGGAGAGATTCCATTATCCTGGAAACAGCTGTAGTGTCTGACAACTCTTCCTGTTGCCCAATCTTGTACGAGCTATCTCTGCTATTTATAATACAGTCCAAGAAAAATTAAAAGTTCCCTTTAATGGTTATTCACATCTGCTGTTGGCTGGATATAAGAAAACATTCTTTGCTGTGCTGAAACTGATACCGTTTTTCCTCTGCACTCCTCTGCCTCAAATATACTTAACAGCAGAAAGTGGTTTAAGGTTAAGAACTCCAATTGGACTGGACAGGCAGGTGATTAAGAGCCTGCTGAGCAGGACAATGAGACTGCAACTCAAAACCTTGCCCAAGCCCAGAAGAAACACAGGTTTGTATTTAGGTCTCCTGTAGTCCAGGGAATTCTGGGAAGTCCCTTGGTATTCATGGATTGAAAAACTGCATGTGAGTGTCTGATACCAGGAAGGGATTGAAAGCTGGAATGCCTGGTTGGCCAGTGAATGGAGCATTAACCTTCTACCTTCTCTCTTAGCTTCACTTCTGATGAGATTAGAATGATTGAAAGAAGGGCTAGAAGAGGTCTTGAGAATTCATCCAGTAGACAAAAAAGTTGCATTTAAGTCAGAATCACTTCATAGAGACCTGTTTCCTGGTAGAAGTTAATCTATTTCTGTTTTGAAATTTCTAGAAATACTTCAGCCTCTGTGGGATTTCCTCTAGTGTTCTAATGATCTGTATCGCTAGAAAGGTTTTCCCACAGTCTAATCTACCTTTTTCATGCAATTAAAGTCTTTTATTACTTGGTCTGTCTCCACTTGACATCATTCCTACCTTTTTCAGCTCAGTACAGGGGATCTGTCAATGTTGTCTCCTCAAGCTTGCCTTTCCCTTCCTTGAAACAGTTCTTCAGTCCCTGTTTTCAGGGCATACTTTCTGAACTTCTGATTTTGGTTGCTCTCTTGCAGATGATATAGGTCACATATAGATGATAAGGTCACATCCTTCCAGAAGAGATTGCTTCATATAAGGCTTTACTAACCTGAGTTAAAGTTGAAAGCCTTGGGAGGTAGTGTTTGCATACACTGCTTCTGTAGTGTTTGCTTTCTGTCACAACATAATGAGATCACTGGCTGTGGTCTGTGGTCTTCTGCATAGATCCTGACTTGACCAGTCTCTCAGGATCTTTTCTGTAGAAACCTTAGTCTTCTACGTGTCCCATCTCTGACTGAGGAATGTACTGTTTGGCAAGCTGAGTTGTTGCTGCTGAATGATTGCTTTCAGAACATCTGGTGGAAGAGTGTGTTTTTATTAAATGGATCATTGGTCATTGAAAACTATGTCTATAGTAACATGTTACTTATTTTAGAAGGGGCGGTAGGTTATTCAGCTGACGTCCCTACATCAGATCGACCTCACAGCGAGGCAGCCACCTATGTTAATATTCCTGTCAGCCCTACTTCCAAAAAACAGCTTCATTACATGGAACTGGAGCTTCAAGAACATAGCACAAGCATAAGAGGTAAGGAAGTCTATAATACTATATAAACAGCAAAGGAATCAGTAATGCAGAATGTATAGGGTATGGGGAATCTGAATTTCTCATCTACGCACAGGCTCTTGCTAACAGCGGAGTTGAACCCTGGTACGTTTGTGAGGCAGTTCTTGTAATTGCCAACTCTTTTGGAAAAGTTTTTTAAGTTATGAGGTTCTATAAGACGATGTATCCCTCTGACAGATGCATTGTATATGCACTCCTTCTGAAGTGAACATTTCTGTGTCTGTGCAGTTTGACAGACAGTAATTTGCTTCGTGTTCTCAAGATTTTCATTGCACATATTAGAACTACACTTATTTTTTTTCTTGATTGGCTTCAGAAACAGGGCTGTGGGTGTAGGTGTACAGGGCTTGCTCCTGAAGATACTGCCTCTGGAGCCATGCAGCAAAAGCTTAAGAATAGAACACAGTGTTCTTCTATCTGCTCTCCGTGAGGATGTGCAAAAGTGCTACAGAGGAGCAGCCAGCCCCAATAGTTTTTTTATTGTTTTTTATTAATTTGTTTGTATCTAGGTATTTTAGTTCTAATTCTTAACTTGGACAATTAGCACACAAACATTCAGTACAGCTACCATGTGTTGTCATTTAGAGATGCATTAGTCCTTCCAGAAAGCCCCCAGTCAGGATCTGGCATTTACTTGCTCACCTTTGGTATTGATGAGTTTTCTATGTATAGTTTTCAGTTACTGAGATTTCAATTTTTATACTTGTAACTTCAGCAAATTTATTAGCTTTTAAATGCAGCACTTTTCTATTTATTTTTTTGTGTGTTTACATGGCTTTAGTTAAGTTATTCTAAGCTTTTCCCAGAATTTAGTGTAGTTCTCTGTATAACATTCCGTTGAGATGTAAAAGTGATGTTTTATCTTTGTTTTAAAGACAGTGTACCAAGGCATTAAGGATGAAGAGATAAATTCCATAAACTGACATAAACTTTCCTAAATGACAACTACTCTCTTAAGCTCAACTTTGAAGATGCCTTTAATGACCATAGATACTTTATTTTTTTCATACTAAAGTTTTTCCAGCTTCTGGAGTTGTATGTCTGAGCCTATACGAAACTCTTTTACTCCTGAACAGACTAAGCAGCTTTTATCTCCCTTATTGCCAGTTATTGAACTAAATTGTCATTCTGTCTGAGGTTGAAGATGGTTGTTCTGGTAAACATTCACAGACTGCCTGATCCAGACAAAGAAGAATCCTTGTCCACTGCCCTACCAAAAGCGTTTTCTTTTCTAATACTAGGAGTTCATTCACTGGACTAGTAGCCTGCTGATGAAGCCTCCTAGAAGTGAGAGAGTTGACTTAAATTTTGGTCTCTACTGGAAGGAGTTGGGGTGGAGATTCAAACCTGGGGCAGAAATACAAGTGGTTCATTTGCTTATTTGAAGAAAACCAGACAGCTGAACTATGCAGATAACAAATATTTTGAGTTTGGGGTTGTTTTTAGTTTTGGTTATCATCTTATTTCCTTTATAAAACTTGCCTTAAGACCAGACCAAGACGATCTAGGAAATCTGAGGAATAATTGTCTCAATAGCTTACCCCTGGGTCAATTCTACCCAGGAATATGTGAGGGGTATCATGTTTTACAGGTTTTCATTGGGTATTTCAGGGAGTGGATCATCCCGATATGCACAGATTGACATTGCAGCCACCGAGACAGCCCACAAAGTGGGAACACAGCATGCTCAGTGCCGGGAGGAACGCTTGCAGGAGCTAGAACAGAAGAAGAAAGGGGCTCAGCAGTGACCTGTCTAGGAAAGGACTTTTTGCTCATCCTAAATTGGTACTAATTTATCTTCCAAAAGGTTCACATTTATTGTAAAAAATACTTGTACAAAATGCTGCCATTGCTCATCGCATTTATACCAGATTCATTCCAATATCTTGATTCCTAATTGGAAAGCTGGTAGCATGAAGCGGGTGTGTGGTCTTTTTATTTAAATTTGGTTGTAAAGTCCAGATTTGTGGGTTGGTTTTTTTTCTCATATGCAATGACAGATGTAAATTACCTTTTTCTATAACTTTAAATCCTGGAGAACCTGGAACCAAATCCAGTGTTCATTAAATGGTGGCATTTTCTTTAAAACTAAAGAACTTGAATGCGTGCAGATAAGGGAATGTGAGTGTGTGTGTGATAAGTGTACACATATGTTTTCATGTGTGCATATGTATGTATGTAAGCACACATTACTGATAAAATATATGTATATATCTGGGTGTATAAAATGTGTAAAACCTCTGTTAATATATTAATAGACTCTTACAAAAGCAAGAAAATTCAGTGCCTGATTTTTTGCAGGCACAGTTTCGTTCAATTTATATGATTATTTATGGACATGCTTAACTTTACCTATGGGTAATTCAGTTTTATACCTCACCAAGAGTTCTGCAGCATTGGCTAAAATTGCTCACATTTAAAAGCTGCTGAGTCAGGGATTCATATGTGTATGCATACAGACAATAGCATACACAAACAAGTTATTTAATTTAATTATGTTTATAAACCAAAGTAATATGAAGGGACATTTTGTGTGCTTCTGTTCTTAAAAATACTGTGTCAAAACATAGGCTTTGACTTCATAGTTGCTGGGTACCTATAATTCTAGGCAATTTTCCTGGAGTTGAACATGTGTATCACTTTGAAATTCAGGTCTCATGTTTCTCACACAGAATGTCTCAAAATGAAGGTACTCAAAAGAAACATTCACATTGGAAAACAGAGACGTTTATTTGTACCTCCAAAACTGTCTCTAATGTAAACCATCATCAAAAGCAAATCATCCACCTTGCCCAAGGAAGTTGTGAATGCTCCAACCCTGGCGGTGCTCAAGGCCAGATTGGACAGAGCCTTGGGCGACACAGTTTAGTGTGTGGTGTCTCTGCTCATGGCAGGGGGTTGGAACTGGATGATCTTAAGGTCCTTTCCAACCCAAACCATTCTATTATTCTATGATTCTATGAATCTAAAGCTTCTATTGAATAATTCTCTGCTGTCCCTAAATAACATAATACCAGTTCTGTGCAAGAGGATGGTATTTTCAGAGATGCTACAAAACTGAGGCACAGCAGGATGTTATGCTGTAATATAGATTTATCCACAAGTCTGTGACATCTTGCTTTTGTACAGTGAAATTGTATGAGTAAAACCTGACTTAGCTTTTTGTTGCATTGTCTCTGTATTTCTTGTGTTCTATGTACTTGTCCTGATACAAGATGTTATTTAAAATAAATGTTATGGCAGAGGCACTAGAATAACAAGGCAGTGTACTTATGAAGAAAACAAAATTTTGGCCTGTGATAACATATCAGCTTTGGCTTCTGGAAGCTATGGGGTATCTTGGGTATTATGACTTTTTGACTGTGTCCTCTTAAGATACAATGCCACAGCCCAATTTTGGTTTTGAGATATGCATTGTAATTTATATAGGTGAGTTTTGTGCCAGTGAGGGTTTCAGTAAAACACTTAGAATGAGAGGTGGCTGCTTGTTTTTGAGGCAGAATTTAACCTAGAAATTTATTTGAATGTAACCTCAGTAGTAATGTAAAATACCAGAAATCTCTCAAAGAAATAAAAATGTTTTCCAGAGTTGATAATTGCCATTGTTATCTGTCCTGTGACAAGATGTGGTTTTCTGTTTATCAGCCTAGCATATTTCTGAAGGGAAAAGAAATACTTCTTGTGATGTTCTGAGTTTAAAAGATTTTTTTGATTTGACAAATGAACAGTGGTTATCTGCTTTGTAAACACATATTCAGTACAACAGGAATGCCCTGGACTTAGAGCTCTTTGGGACCAGGTTTATCTAACTGAACTGCTATGCAAGTAAGCATCTTCCGCTGGAGGACTTGCAGGTTAAATCTCTTGCTATGTGCCTATTTAATATTTAAAATGAATATAGCTTGCCTGATGCACTGAAATGCACCATTTTCCATTGTGGTACATAATGAAGCGGCAATATTTCTGTTGTAAAAATCTATTTACCAGGAAAATATGTTACCCAGGTTCTCTACAAAGGCTGCTTTTCCTGTACATTGCTCAAAGCTACACTGAATCCCGGACTTGCAGCATGGGTAAGGATTTGACACAACAGTAAAAGTCACCAGGTTGCTGCTGGCCTTACAGGAGGAGCCATACTTCTAGAAACATGTTTTTTCAGGTTGAACGGGGCTGTGAATCTGTGCATGCACACGGTTCTCTGTGCACATGTATTTGTGTATGTCACAGTAACTTCAGCTGGGCCTAGCTAGATGGGTGGATATAAATTTGTACTTATAGCCTTTTTAATGTAAATGTAATTATCATAATGTCAACATAATTGCTTCTCTTTTGTTACTTCACTTGACTAGAACAAATAGAACAGGTGACTTTCACTTTTTTAAATTCACTTCATATTCTCATGCACTAAATTGTATTTAGGAGGCTGAAGCAGGAGGCCAAACCTTACAGTTGCATCCATCAAAAACAGGCTGATTGTTAGTTTTGTGGTATCTTGGAGGCCTCCTTGTCAAGTTATAGGCTTGATATTTCTGCTGAGGAAACTAAATTTTTCTCATTTGAACAACAGGAGCACACAACAATGGAAAATTTTCCTAAATAAACAAAATAATGTGCCTCCAACTTCCAGCAGTGAACTGGGGAAAATGGAATTCAAACTATAATCCTATGAGCAGGATTATGTAGCTTCCAGGGGTTAACTGAAGTACTGCTTTTAATGCACAAATAATTACAGGTTTATTTCCACACCTTGCATAAAACTTGTGCATAAGTAGTCTAAAATACAGCTCGTAATTGCTATAGGATGATTCCAGATTTGGAGATCTGCAAAAAACCCCCCAAAAGATCTCCCCCATTTTTGGAGATAAGTGTGGCTTGTAACTTCTGCTTGTAAAAGCGGAGGCTTTGCTCATTTTTATCTTAGCATTCTACCAGTCAGATCCCCTCCTGCTCTTGCGGAACTAATCACCAGAACAACAAAACAGTATGAGGTGGCTAATACTTCTGTAAGATGTTCTTGAAGTACTCTAACATGGCAGAAGTGCCAGTTTGGGGACGGTGCTCTCAGGAATAAGAAAACACGCTGTCAGCAAGTGCAGTGTTTGGGCATAACCACTAGCGTGATGTGTATGTACCTCTTTCTTTCTGGTAGTCCTACTCAGTAGGTTACTGCCAAATGGTACTACTACTTCTGTGTGTTTTATGGTGTTGCTTGTAAGCTGTTATGGGACATTTTTATGTGCAAGCGTTTGCGTGATGGAATTTCTCCAAGTTAATATGTGCTGCAGGATGGAGGGCTGGAGTTTGGAGGCATTTAATTGCCCAACAATACATATAGTTGTCTGCGGTTTAATAGCACTCTGGCACCTAATGGTGGAAAATGCCAATAGGTGTCTTTAGGCACCTGGATGTATGTGAAAATCTGCCCCGAGAGCTGTTTTTAGCAGATGACTTGGAAAAATTCCTCATTTTCCTCTCTGCTGTTAAAAAAATTAATTAGTGTAGCTTGAAAACCTATATTTGAATTTGAATTACAAGTGATTACATTTTTTATGAGATGCTGTAACAGGCACCCTTTGGTAAGTACCTTTTCTAGTTTGTCTGGGATAACGCACATACTGTTGCTAAAATGACCACAGGAATAAGATACAATGAGTTACTACTCATTTCTGTTAAAATTACACGGTTTTGGTCAGATGAAAGTGCTGTTATGTTTTTATGGCACCTTTTGTCTGGGAAGGTCCTTGGCTCTCATTCAGCCAGTCATACAAATTTTATTTTTGCAATCTAGTTTGAAAAGAAATCTTAATTTATCATCATACAGCAACAAGAACAAACACAGCGGAGTAAGGATGGATGAATCTGAAGTTAACAAATTTGTAAGGGGTAGCTCTGCAAACGTGTCTTTTAGTGTAGCTGAACTCAGCGCTGGTGAGACCTCACCTTGAGTACTGTGTGCAGCTCTGGCCCCCACAGTTTGAGGAGGACATAAAGGTCCTTGAATGTGTCCAGAGGGCAGCAAAGCTGGAGACAGGGCTGGAAGACATGTCCTGTGAGGAGCGGCTGGGGGCCTGGGTTTATCTGGTTCAGAGAGGAGGCTGATGGGTGACCTATTGGCCTCTACAGCTTTCTGAGGAGGGGAGGTGGACAGAGAGGTGCTGATCTCTTTTCCTTCTGATCCAAGGACAGGATGGCTGGGAATGGCTCAAAGCTGCACCAGGGGAGTTTAGACTGGACTTTTGGAAGCATTTCTTTACTGAGAGGGTGGTCAAGCCCTGGGGGAGGCTTCCTAGAGAGGGGGTTGATGCCCCAAGCCCGTCAGTGTTTAAGAAGCATTTGAACAATGCCCTTAACATGCTGTAACTTTTGGTCAGCCCTGAGGTGTTCGGGCAGTTGGAGTAGATCACTGTTATTGGTCCCTTCCAACTGAAGATATTCTGTTCTACTCTATTCTAAAGATTACAGGCTTCAGGGTAGCCTCACTCTGAGGCCCAGGACAATGATGATCAGTTGGTTACAGATTAGAAGTAACTCTCCTATGGACTTTTTGTTTTGAAAGGCTGGAATGTAAGTGAGAGAAAAATACAGGTAATTCACACCCTAGATTCTGATACAGTAAAGAGCTTTATAAGACACTGGACAGGTTCAGGGAAGTGCGGCTGCCAAGTAAACTTTGAGTTTAGTAAAAACTTTAGGGTGAATGAAAGTTAACTTTAAAACTTGCTTTCAAACATTTGTCTGCATCAGAGCATCTAGAAATAATTCAAATGTATTATCCCACTGTGTACACAGAGGCGTATGTAACATCACCGTTCTACTGAAATAATAAGTGTCAACTTATTTGAGGAATGTGCAGTGGGGGGGTGGGATCAGAAAGCAGATTTAGCATGACAGTAATTTGTCTCTACATTACATTATACTGTTGTGAAATCCCTAAAAAAAAATAATTAAAAAAGCCCTAGCATCTGCTATTGTATAAGTTAAATTTTACTCGTCTGTGGGCTGAGCTGGGAATTTATGGATAGTTCCTATACAGAAAATAGAGCAGATTGCATGCTCGGGAAGGAACCCGCCCTTTGACTCCCAAAGTTTTATTATGTAATAATA